ATAAGAATCGCAGGCTGCCCAGGGGTAGAATGTGACTGATTTTTAGAGATGACAGTGCCCTTTTTATTACATGTCAGTGTGAAGATATGGGGATGCAATTTGGATTCTATTAATTATCTGACAGTCTCTTCTTGGGGAATGTCTACTACTCTGAACCGAAGATTTTTCGGTTAGCTTTCATTCCTCCAAATTATAGGGCAAAGGTCTGAGCCTGAAAGTTGGAGAATCATCACAGCTGAAAATGAGAGAAATCTGGGTTCAGATTCTGCATACACTGTAATATTTATGAGCTCTGTAATCTTGATTTAAAAACCCCAATTCTTTGTAAACCTTAGTTTCCTCACATTATAACTGGGGATCATAATACCTCTTCTATAGGGCTTTGCAAGGGATTAAATGATAGAATATGCTTGTAATATTCAATATCATGTATGCATAAAGTAATCTCCCAATTTCTGAGAGCTGAAGAGATTGTAAGCTTCTACACTCTGAATCCCAAGTGAGCCCTGTTACTATCACTTGGTGACTTGCTGGTACAAGACTGTGGGCCACAGGGGTCAAATCCTTGGATTAGTTTCACCTTGACTTCTTGCTTTCTTTCTTAAGAAGGCTTCTGGAACTCTGGGCAGTTAGCCAAGAACTGTAAGAAAAGGGTCAGGAATATCATGACAAAGATGGCAACAATGATTTGTAGGGGAAGACTGAAGGCCTTAGCTGTGAAGATTCTAGTTTATGGAAGTTTAGGGTGAGGACAATGCAAGTGTAGTTCCATCTTCCTTGCAACTAACAGAAAACAAAATGGGGTGAAGATACAGTTTGATTAGAAGAACATTTTGTCAGAAGGGATATGAGATAACCAAGCAAGTAGAAAATACCATTATCTGGAAACATCTATGGTGAACAAGTATGACAGACCACAGGTACTGGAAGGTTTTCAACAGTAGACACAAAATCTGCTTCTTGCACAGTATTCACTAAATATATTCAGAATTCTTCCACTTTTCCAAATAGTGATGCTACTCCATAAAAAAACAGACAGCAAAACCAAGAACAAAAATTAAAAAGAAAATCAAGGTCAATTCAGCTATAAGCCTTCTGATTTTATTTATGACACAAACTGTGGATAGATTTTGCTAGTTTTCATTCATCAGACAGAGATCCATCCAGGTAACTGAGTCCAGTGAAATGGGGATGAAAAGGGAAGGAAATTAGCTTGATTCCAAAGCTCTTCTCATTAGGAATAGATTCCAGCATTTCTCCCCACCAGGTCGCCAGGAGCACATGGAAAATGCTACTGTACTATACACGTAACATGTGTTTGTCTGTACTGGATAGGGGCCCAGGTACTTTGCTTTCTGTTCCGAGACTGGAAATGTTTTGGTTGTTGCTTTAACAAATGAGACTACTGGCACAAAATCACCTCGACAGTTCTTATAAAGCCTTCATTGTTTAGAGGGCCAATTCTATATAACTCAAGAGACAGGCACAGAAGACATGGTGGTAGCAGGCAGCAAGAGACTGGTATAGGGTGGGTGTCTTGAAGACTGAAAAAATGTAGCTCATCTGGAGCCACTAGGTAGAGGTATTAGAAATAGAAACTACATTTTAGTTCTTTCCTTTTCTAAAGAGCAAATATTTCTGAAGACCAATGTCTACTGGGCACTTGTAATACATCTAAAGACAGAGAGTCTTACTGATTCTGTGTTCCAGATAAGGAAACCAAAGCTCAGAGAATTTAAATACAGAATAGTAGTCTACTGTGGTAGATGGAACTTGGGCTTTGGAGCACAAGGGCTTGAATACTGGCTCCAGCACTAGTCGTCAGCTCTGTGATCATGGGGAAGGTCCTGAGTTAAATGCTCACCTCCATTCAATTGTAAGACATAAGTAAGCAGGAGCTGTGTCTGTTTTGTTCACTACTGACCAGTCCTTAGTAAAATTTTTTTCAATAATAAAGTTATAAGACCAAAATAAATCCTCAATGGGATACAGAGATAGGTACTTTAAGATAAAGTGGGATAAATGCTACAAAACAGCCTGAACAAATTTCTACCATCAAGCTAAAAACAGCTCAGACTAGGAGCATAATTACTTCTTTAGATCCCATTCACCTCCACTGAGGTACTGCAATCTGGCTGGGAAGTTTGTTAGCCCACATTTGAACCCTGAAAGTCTTACCCACATCTACTGCATCCATGGGGGTCTGTTTCCTTTGCATTTAACTTTCCTGCTTACATTTCCAAAGACTCTTGCCATGTGAGATACCAGGTTTTCAGTGAATCTCCTAAACTAGTCCAGGTCCTTCAATATTCAAGTTATCTAAACTTCAGATAAACCTCTCCTATCTTTTGAATATGGATCCCAATCTTTCTTGAATTTCTCCTGATGTACCTATACTTTTATGTTCCTACTGAATAATTTCTTGTGTTCTGAAACCAATTCATCATGTAAATGACTACCAAGTTCTGGGATCTTTCCATTTTTTAAAGCACTGGGAAGGCCATGAAAGGGAATCTCAACAGAGGGAGAAAAGAAATGAAGGCCTAATTTGCTATACTCATAGATGAGTAAATAAATCATGAGGGGAATATATTTTCAAATATAAAGGTATTAAGAAGGAAATATTTATACCTTTATCAAATAGTTAATGAATGTCCATCTGCCCAGGCCCTGTGTAATTTGCTGAGGACACAAAGCCAGTTCTGTCCCTTAAAGGACTAATAGTCTAGGGTAGGGTTTCTGAGTCACAGTACCATGGACATTCGGGGAACGACATTGCATGTTTGTTTGGGGGAAGGGGTAGAGCTGTTCCGTGTAGCACAAGATGGTAAACAGCACCTTCTCTCTACATACTAGATGCCAGTTGGTACTCCTTCTCCTCTTCCCGGCAGTGACACTGGAATTTCTCCAGATATTGCCAACAGTCGCCAGGGGGATAAAGGTGCCCTCTAGTTGAGAACCACTAGTTTAGGGAAAGCAGATAATTTATACGATACCTGTGACATAAGTATTATTATTAAAACTCTGAGGGCAGAGAAAAGGGCTCTTTCATTCTAGGGGAAAGTGGGAGAGGATACCATAGAGAATTTCACAGAATCAATGACTTTTAATGCTCAGTATCTGAAAAATATTTAATGTCAGGTTAAGCACATGAAAACAGGGACAATTAGGGACCTAGCAGGGCAACTGGAGAAGAATGAGGAAAGAAAGGTCATTCAAGCAGAGACAAGAAGATGAACAAAGGCCTGGAGGAAAGAGACCACAGAATATTCGGACAATGAAGGATTGTTTGGAGGGGGAGAACAGAAGTAAGACTGGGGCCAGAACATGTTAGTAAGAAAGGAACTAAAATTTTAATATAAAGGAATAAACGTAAATTTTAAACTTTTCTTGTGTGTGTGTGCTCAAGATTGAACCCAGGGGCTTGTCCATGCTATGCATGAACTCTATCACTGAGCTGCACCTCAGGCTTTAAATATGTATTTCAAACATAGTGGAGCCCTTTTATAAAAAGAGCCTTTCCTTGCTCCCCAATACATTAACCTGATCAAAGCAAACTGCTTTAACTGGATAATAGTCCACTCAGTTTCTAAGACGTCTCCTTGAAGTACATCTGTGGCACCCTAGAACTCTGGGACATGGGCTGGAAGAAGCAGTGTTGCAGGCAACATGGCACCACTGAGAAATCTGAGTACAGAATTTGTTTTTCAGAAAAAACTTCCTACTGGTAGAGCTGAACATGGAAAAGGGACAACAGAGAAAGCTCAAAGGTACAGCGACCAGTCAGCATTTCACACATAGGTTTTACTTGTGGACCAGTTGTAAGGCTACAATGCACAGGGAAAAGCACATTGGCTTTGGGGTCACACAAATGCAGTTTAAAATTACTCTTGAGGCATTTTGACTTTGGGCACATCATTTGCTAAGCTTTATTTTCTTGTTCTGTAAAATGGGGCTACCTATATCACTTGATCACTATAAAAAAATATGTAAGCTGAGGGCAAGTACTGACAGATAAGCACTCAGTAAACACAAATATGCATCCTCTTCTTTCACTGAGCCTCACTGAGTCAATATAACTTTGAGTATGGGGAGATAGAACAGATTGTTAATGGATCTCCTACTTGGTGTAGAACAGATAACAGAGTTGTCTTTCAAAAGAAGATTATTTTGAGTGACCTGTTGGCATGAACCACATGTTAGCGGAGAGGTATTTGGCTTCTTTCTTTGGGATCTCCCAGGACTTCTCATAAGAGAGAGATTAGAATAAGAGCAGATAAAACTTAAGCACTCCATGTGTCTCTGGCTCAGAGACAGTGTCTCAGGTCTTTTTCAGTTTAGCAAAGCCTATATCCATTGCATGGTTGGGAAATCAGCAGTTAAAAACTTGATCTGTATATAAATCTTCCAGGAGATCAAGTTGTATTGGAATCACAAAGCTTGTATTATAAAAGACAAGTTGCAAATCCAAGTTTCCCTCCATGTTTTCCCATCTTATATCAATAAGTACTTCTTCAGTAGTGAATATTTATACCTCTCTTGGAGAAAACAATCTTTATATCCAGAGCACTAATTTGTTTTCTCTCGTCTTTCCCCCGTTTATCATCACAGTGGAAATACATTTTCAGTTAAAAGAAATAATCCCCTGTAACAAGGCGAACAGAACTGAACTTTGGAATATAACTGGGTAGAGAATCTGTTCCATAGTAGGCAGAGTTCAGATAAGGCATTTGAAGGTCACAAGCAGCATCTGTAGCTAAGCGCATTATGCCAGCAGTCTTACAGAACCAGACACCCTCAAACTTTAGAAAACAGGGTGATTAACAAAAGTTTTTGATACTCTCCAGGCCATCTCAACACCCGTAACAGAGAATCTATCTTCTCACATGGCCACAGGTGCCCTGGACTCCATGCTTCCCTTTTCTAGTGCAGAGGTCCACATCACATTCCACTCTGAGCAGTCTGAGCTTCTAATGAGAAGGAGACCTCAGCAGCCTTACCTCTGAACAAGGGTTCCAAAGACAAGATGGAGACATTTCTGCATGTTTTCAGTGCACAGCCATTTCCACTGCTGCATCAAGAGCAAGAAGATCAGATCCAGGGCTGTGTCAGCTAACTCTGTCTCTGCTCCTGAGGGACAGAAGAGCATCACAGGTAACTCAGAAGAGAACCCCACATCAGGAATGTCTTTCAGTGCCCTGGGTGGCAGCTGGGTCTCCTCCACCTTCATATGGACCATCACATACTTTTATAATCCCTCTGCATTGAAATCAAGAGAAATGTACTTTATACCTAAAAAGTTCACTTATGGCTCTGCATGTCTTCACAATTCTTTTGCTTATGTTTCTCATACTGTTTATTCATTTGTTTGGTTTTGGTTTTTTGAGACAGGGTCTATGTAGTCCACACTGGTCTCAAACTCAGTGATCCTCCTGCCTCAGCCTCCCAAGTGGTGGGATTACAGGTGTGCACCACCACGCCCAGCTTACCTAGTGTTTTTAAAAAAGATTTTACATATAATTATTTTATTTACCTAGCTTCCATTTCTTCTGTATTTCCTCAGCATGCTGAATTCATTCTGTTCCAAGTGAGACCTCACAACTGGTGACTAACTGGAACTGGCACGGGTTTGTCCCTTCCATCCTCGCCTTCCACTATGTATCATGGAAATGTTGTGGGCAGATTTGAGAAAGATTTGGGCTACATTCTCCTGAAAAAACATCTCCATTACAAAGACCTGAAGGGTGGAGATTCAAGAGGCTTAGTTTGATTCTCAGATAACATGTGGTTCTAGGAAAAGCACCACACCTCTGGAAAAATGTCATGACATTTACTGGTTTCTTCCCTGTTTTGAGGATCTAAAGGGCCACAAATGAGCTTATTTTCATGCTAACCTGGAGTTTCCTGAACACATATACTCTATTGTCAGAAACATCTACTCTTTAAACTTGTGCCACATAGGGTAGATGTACCCATTTCACTTCTGATTTGCTTCCCTGGAAACTTCCCCAGGAGTACATAATATTCTACAGTGCATGTGAGATGCCTGGTCTTACCCGTGTTTAGTACTATAAACAACCAACATTTCTGTTAGTCTAAATCTCACAGTTTTGCCCAAGCTCTCGTCCGTTAGGGGTCCTTTAGAACATGAATGACTTCAGATCTGCATGGATGTGCTTGAACTGAATTCCATTTCCCTGTAAACCCCATCTGAAACATGTTGTCTTATCTGTCCTGTGTCCATTTTCTCTATCTGTCCTGTGTCCAAGGGGCATGGGAGCTGATGAGTTGCTCTCTGGTGATTTGCTCAAAGATGGGCTGGCCTGTTCCTTAGGAAATCGCATCCTTCTCAGTACAGTTATCTCCTCAGATTAAGCATCTGCCTGAAGGTGCCACCAAGTGGCAACACTTAGTCATAGCAATAAAAAAAAGTGGAAAGCAAAGTGCTGCTTATTTGTCTAGAAGTGAATAATACATTTCTTTCATAGGACCATTTTGACTCTTTCAGGCTAGAAGGAAGAAGGGCTCCAGCATAAACTATCCCTTTAGAGATACAATATTCAAAATTTGTAGGCTTTATTTTGGGTAGAATGATATTGTTTTGCTCATTCTTTTTATGATGTATTAAAGGGGTCTCAGATGCTTTGCCATACCATTTGCTTCACTTAGCCAGTGAGATGTGCCTGCAAACCCCACTTGTCATGTACTTAAATTGAGCTCCAAAGAGCAGAGGGCTGGTGATTTGTTCATAGGCCCCAAGGGACAACAGTGAAGTTGGCTTCTGTTGTTGTTGTGATCTTTCCTTCCCAAGCCACATCTCTGAGTCTTGGTGGAATCCATGACTTTTCTTCTTTGAAGTTTTAGATTAGCAAGTATACTAATTAATATTTAAGCCTCTGAAGTTTTCCTCCCTAAATACATCTGCTCTTCCTCTCCTGGAAGCAAACCAGCCCTGCCTCAAATCCTTACAAGTGGAAAGCAGAAGTGGAAAGCATACCTCTTTCCTCTCCCTGCTCTACTCAAGAGAATGAGGTGGTATCATCAGCCATAGCAGTAAATAAAGCAGAAGGAACATATCTGGTGAAAAAGATGTATTCTACTATGGACAGCAGAGTGTTTCAGTTACTCTATGATGTCCAGTATACAGACATTATTGGCAGATGTGTGAGAGGAGAGGCCAGCAGTATGGATAGGTATCTGGGGAGAATGTGCAGAGAACAAGTAGAGAGCCAAAACTGAACCTCCGGAAGGCTGATAAGGAAAAACAGTGGACCACAAAGGGACCACAAAATAGACACAAAGAAAATTAGGAAATTGGTATCACAGACACTGAGGAAAGAGCTCCAGATAAAGACAGCAATCTCATATGTCAGAGTATGTCAAAATGTCTTACACGAAACACTGACATTATATCATGGATCTGTTCCTGCTGGGTAAAAACTACCTGTGTCTATGCCTTGCTCTGCTACTTACCTTGGTGGTGGGGACTGTGTCCTCCTTATCACTGGCCCAGAACTCTCATGCTGGAGTCCAACACATGACTCACTCAGCTAGAACAACAGAAAGTAAAGCTACAAAGTTCAACTCTCCCAAGTCCTGGTGGATTCCACCTTGGCTCCCTTCTCTGGGGGATCAGAGACCTTGCCACTTACCTGGATCACTGCTGCTCAGGTCTTGGGCTGGCACAGCTGCACCTGACAAGCAACTGTCCACATATCTCTTGGGGATTTGTCCTGGGGCTCCTGTTGATTGGATTTCCAGTAATTCTGTCTGCTTTTTAATAAAGGATTCCATTCCAGACATGGACAGGATCTCTGACTCCTGAAGAAATAGCCAGTGGCACATCACATAAAGAATGCAGGAAGCAGGGCCCAAGTGCAGCACTCTAGGTTTCCCCACATCTCACTTGCAAAAGAGCTATGGGCACAGAATCCACTGAATGAGACTACTTCAGGGAAGTTTCTCTTTACCCAAGGTGCAAATCAAACAAACCTGGCATAGCACCACCACTTCTGAACACTCAGATCTCTGTTCTCTTCCAGAAAGGGACTCTCTTCCTGTCACTCATTATCCCACACCTATTGCCTTTAAGAAGCCAACCTGACAACTCACAACTGATAGGAATTCAGCCACTCAAAGAGCACATGTTTAACATAAAAGTTGAGACCCAGATGATACGTTAAATCCTTTAGCAGGACACCATGTCTTGACTTTAGAGACTGTTTTAACCTCCTATAACTGCAGGATCAATAGGCCACATCTTACTCCTTGCAGTTCTCTGGGCTGCTTTGGTTCTCACCGCATTGCTTTCCTGGAGACAATAGAGAATCCTGTCGTGTGCTTCTGTCACATGCAGTGCTGGAGCAATTTTGCTGGATGAGAACCTCAGTCTCGGCCTGGTAGAGAAACAAATGGCAGAAACAATGTAATTTATGGTTCTGATACTGGAACAGAAGGCTGTCAAGTACCGGTAACACACCAAAACAAGAACACTCATACTTATTCTTGGGAGCTTACTATGCCTAGTAGCCAGGAAAGACTAGGTGCTGAAATCCTCCAAACAAAGTATATTCTGGCAATTCTTTATAGTGCCACTTTTACAGTAAGCTATGCCTTCAGTGTATTTGTGAAAAGGCTTTTGCCAAGAAATAGGAGCAAGTTTGTCATGGTCATGGTCCCACAGGCTAGAAAAGTGGTAAGTACATACTATGCACATAATGTTAAAAATTTGTTGAAGATTAAATAAATAGCATAGACTAAGGATTTTTGTTATCGTTGGTACCCTTTTGTGGAATCATTTATTCCCCTGTGTTCTAAAGAAAACCAGAGAAAGAATTGTAAGTGATAAAAAATGTGTCAAGAACTAGAAGATTCACCAGCATAAGTATCAAGGTCATCTTTTCAAACATGGGCCCAGTTTAAAAAGACTAAGCCCTTGAGTCTGGTATTGGCCCTCAACATGAATAGAGACAGTGGCAAACAAGGATAATCAGTGACTGCCCCTCCTGCTTCTTTATAATGATTAAGATTCCCATGAAATTTCCAGTAAGGGTAAGTGTAGTGCCCTTGCCTTCCACACGTTATTGTGGAGGGCTGCCAGGGAACAGCTGGAGCCCAAGTGCAGGAGACAGCAGCAGCAGTCAACCAGTTACTAAAAGAGGCCCTGCAGATTTCCATTCTAGCCCTTTCCTGTTTATTGCTAGTAAATGTATTTCTGAGCCAAGATTTCCAGAAATGATGGCAAAGAGAGATAGTTATGAGCCTTAATTCTTAGTAGGAAAGAAATATCTCAATTTCTCAGGAACACAGAAAAGAGAATATCCATATTCTAGAGTTTTCCTTCTTGTCACAACTCTGAGGTAATCTGGGCCCCCCCCGCCCCCATTCTCACAGGAAGAGCAAGCACTCAGCAGTGCTGCCTCTGCATCACATTTGGCTCCCTTGGTGGAGCATCAGGGAGCCCCGGGTCTCTCACCTAAAAGCAAGTACATCAGACCTCCCTCTTCTCTTCTAGGGCCTGCAAATAGAAGTGACCTTTGCTCAGGATTGGGGATCAACCTGAGAACTGGGGAAAGGTTCCTGGGCCATTGGAGGGCTTCTCACTTGCTAGGCTTCTTGCCTTCTGTCTGTGGCTTGCTTTCATTCTCAGCCTCACTCAGCTCCTCCGTGGGGCTCTGGGGCTCAGAGCGAGGAAACGCTGTCTTCAACGTGTCTACGATGGCACTCACCACCATCTGCAGGGTCAGAGGTGCAGGGTCAGTAAGTCCACTCAATCCCCAGAAGGAAAGTACCCAACTGGAAAGCAATCGTCTCACTGTGCTTTGTGCAACAAGACAGCCAGGAGCCGAGCCATCTAGCACAGCCTTATCTATTAGTGATGTCAAACACCAGTCAATGACAACATTCCCCCTTTTTCTATGGCCATGGAAATCTTCTTATTGCAGTGTAAGACAGATAAGGCTATGGAAAAATAAGCCTAAACAAATCATGAAATAAATAAAAACCAACCTGGGAGTTTTGCAGGCTGGTGAATATTTTTCATTTTCAGTTTTTTTCCTTTTTACATAAAAAGGTGATTTCTAGTCTCCAAACTGATAATACCTTCATCAAGATGTGAATAAGTGGAGGTAATTCAGGTAGGAGTATAAGGAACAAAGAAAGAGAGTCTAGGGCATAAATAATATACACACGCTTAGAGTAATTCACATAGAGCAAAGAACTTTTTTCTAGTCAGGGCAAATAATTTCTTTAGGTACAAAAAATAAATACCACTCAGATAAAAATCAAAGTTTTCTGGAGTTAATATAAACTTTGATACTCATAAGAGCAAACCAAATAATTTCAATGAAAAATAAGAATGGGCTCTATTTCTCAGAATGGGAAAATAGCAACAGACATTTGCGTAAAAAAAGAAAATATACAAATAAAATCCTAAACTATCAAGAAATAAATCCATTTCCTTTTCCTCATACCTCTTCCTAATTAAACCATAGGTGGAGCACTACACCATGCCTTTGTTCTGTGACAGTCCCCCACAGGGAGCACAATTAGCACATCTAATAATCACGGAGACCACAAGGAAGACCAGGGAGAACAAACCAGAGAAGAGCAGAGGACTGCATCAACTAGTGGATGTAGCTGAGAAAATACGACTTGCTCTTTGGGCTCAAGAACTGTGGTCTGTAGGAGGGTTCTCACATGTCCCATTTACTTCTGTATCACTGACAACTAGCATGGTGCCTGCCTCAGAACCGGCATCCAATTGGGAAGTGCTGAAAGAATCACTGAGAGAACACATCTGCGTGGCACTCTGTCAGTCTCCTTCTAGTGTGTGGTTTTCTCATAGCAGTGGATGCCCCCTGACATCTGTCCTATTCAGTTCCTTTTTACTTGTCCCTCCAGCCTTAGATGAGAAGATGGAGGTACCTCCTCTTCTGCCAATGAGTCAGTGTTTCTCATCCATGTAAAGCATATGGCCATCTTCTAATGAGCACAAACCTCAGGCTTCTTCCCTGGAGACTGGTGATACCAGCTGGCCATTACAGCTTATAGGTTTGGATGTGCTCCGCCGACGTCCTACCATCTCCACAGGTACTGACACACTTTCATGAGAAGGTGTCTCTAGCAGGGAAGCATTACACCAATTTAAACCCGCTTAGTGTCCTGTCTGTGGACTCTCCTTCCTGACTGATCAACCCTGGGAATCACTTTTCCCTCCAGAAGGAATCCCCTGACTATGGAGGTTCACATATACCCTTACACACCTCCATAGAATGACAATGCCACAGTTCCCCCAGGAGATATGTGTACACTTACAGAGTTAGGGAATTGTCTATTAACAACTGCTCACTATGATTTAGCAAGTTGAAGAGCCAACCAATTTTTGGTGAAAGGTCTTACAAAGTTCTAGTACATGTTCTATTGAGTGCTCTATGCTGCCTCCCCCCGTGTCCTATCTCCCTTATTTCCTAAGCCTATCCCCCACTCCAACACACACTCCACATTTACAGACAGCACAAGCTGCGCAGTGGCCCTCCTGGTACCTTGTCTATTCTAGAGACCAGGAACGGTTTCTTGACAAACGCAATACGAGCATCAGTGTTCAGAGCAAGGAACTCTTGTACCTCCTCACTGTTAGCAATCTCAGGAATGGCACAGAGTTGCTGCAAAAGTAAGACAAGAGGATTTTAAAGAGAAATTTTGGTCCCCAGATCTCGCCACCTTACCCTGGGTATGTGTGGGTCAGAATGAGAACAAAGCCGAAGGAGAAGATGCTGACCTTTAGGAACGATTCCAGGAGGCTCTTACGGGCTTCTACTCTGTCACTGTCCATGTTTCCAAATGGAAGATCTGGAAAGAGCTTTTTTGGACCCTTTACATCTTCAAAACGAAACAAAGTTTATCCATCCATTAAACATTCGCAAAGAGCTTATTCATAAAAAATATAAAGAAAAGAATTATTGAATATTATTTCCCTGGGATTTTTAACTTAATTTCAGGAGTTCCAAATACATCCCCAGGGATATGATAAATGTATTCTCATTATTGTGAAGAGAAGCATAACAATGGCTAGCGTGGCTAACAATGGCTGAAGTCCAATGGTCCAAGTTCTAAGCTCTACTATAATAATCTTTCTGTGAATTTGCTTATTTTCTGTATAAAGGGGATAATGTACAGTGGTTTCCTGAAAATAAGACCTAGCCAGAAAATAATCAGTCTTGAAATCTAGAGATCAAAAATGCCAGCCCCAGTCAGCCTATCCTTTCCTTACCTGCCATCACTGTCCTCTTGCTCAGGGGCTACTCTGTAAGGCAAGTAAGGAAAGGATAGGCTGGCTAGGGCTGGCATTTTTGATCTCTAGATTTCAAGGCTGCTTATTTTCTGGCTAGGTCTTATTTTTCAGGGAAAGAGGATAGCATTTGTCTCATAGTTGTTATGAGGATTAAACAAACTAGCAGGTGTAAAGTGCTTAGAAGAGAATGTTATGAACAAGCCTGCCTCAGTATTAGGTGTTATTAAGAAATTAAATGCATAATACATGCTCAAACTTACTAAAATATTTGGGTAATCAACATTTTTTTTTAAAAGCAGCCAGTTATTAGCTTATCCTTAGAGTTAAATTTATTACATTTTCTTATTTTCTCTGTGCTGTGGAGATGTCGAACAGCACAAAAAAATTCTGGTTGTTAAAGGAAACAAAGTGATAAAGATTTCTGGGTAACATTTTAATGTTTAAGAGTGATCAATCTATAGTTCTGGAAAGAGTAATTTAACCACTCAAACTGTCTCATGAGCACAGGCAGAAATGTTAATTTTAAGCTTAAACTAGGTGGGGCTTCAGAACAAGGGATTTAGCAGCCAAGCACTACCTCAGAAAGAATGTGATCAGAGCTGTCCATCACTAAACCTCAAAACTTCTAAGCAAGACTTGGGGAAGAGAGAACCCCAGTCCTGGATTCTCTTCCCCACAAACCCATAGGCTATCAAGCATTCAGGGCAGGGTGGTGACAGCTGAGAAGCAAATAGGCAGTCCAGCGCCAGGGAAAATGCTGACTTTTGATGAACTTCCGTAGATCTGGTTTCTCCTCCAGACGGGTCTGCAGGTTCAAGAACTCCCGATAGCGGCGATTTACAGTGTGGTAGGCCAGCTGCTGCAGGGCACTGCTGTTCTCACTGTGAAGGGCTGTCTCGTACTGTTGAAGGAACAGAGTTATTGACCAAACGAGCCAGGTCTAGGCATTCTTCTACTCTGGCTTTAATGACTACTTGCTCAATAGCATGCAGTGACAGCAGAGTGAAGATAAAGAGAGGGAGATGTTCCTGTCCTTTTGCAGAACCTGCTGCATCTGAGTGGAATAACTCAAACTCTAAAGGCAACTGACTTAAAGAATGAGATGTACTTTCTGATAATCTTGGTCCAGAAAGTCAGAAATGAGTTTGACTGCTCCTATGACTTCTATCCAAAAGATTCCTCCCCCAGATACATAGCTGTATTTATAAAAATGGCTCTATCACTCTGTTTTAGCCCCAAAGACAGAGTAAAACAGAAGGCATATCACCTATAAAAGAGATTACATTTCTATCATCTCTAAGTTATAGGCTGGGCATTGTAAGGGGAAAATCATTTTGCCATAAACTCAACAAGTGATGATCTCTATTAAAAGCAGGAAGAACAATTTCAAACAGCAGATGTGCAGAAGTCATTTGCTTGCCTGGAATGAATTACAGGGCATGTGTTATTGTTTTGCTTTGGGCAGATTAATCTTCCTAACTGTTATTCTTAGAAGTAAACTGAAAATTTTTCCTAAGTACAGTGTACATGATATTTATATCACTGGAAATCACATGATTGGAGATGCTGTACAGGATCCGAGTCTGCTGCTTCCACATGCTGGCAGTGGGAAAGGTGGTTTATACTACATGTTCCTGGAAGAGTGAGCACCCTGAATATATTGAAGTTGTGCCTCAGTGCATAAATAGTTCAGATACAATGAAGTGCTGTGGGAGAATTATATACGTGCTTACTCTTATTAGGAGTAGGTTACTGTTATTGTTTGGCAGAGGGATTGTACTGTGGCCAGTGAGGGAAACAAATATCTCCTTGATGGCTGGACTTAAGGCTGGTGTATTCAAATTTTCCAGAGGTGGAGAGGGAGATGTACTCACAATTAGCTGAGGTGAGCTAAGCAGTCCCTCAGACCAGTATGGAAAAGAAAGACAGACAGGTGGAATTTGGGAATGGGAGGCTGAAACTTGGAGAATCTGAGAGTTATGATGCTTTCTGTGGGATAGTCTGCTCCTTGAGGGACAATATTTAATTCTCATGTGTTCACTTCCATCATGTAAACTGAAGACTGTTTTACTATCAGAAAGTGTAATATTGATACATAATTTAGAACCATGCCCACATTAAAATCTAAACCCAACCCAATCGCAAACCATGCACAAGTGGCTACGTGATTTTGCTAATCATTTTTCATTTACCTTTTCCTTCTTTTTAATGTTTTATTGGTACACATTTTGCAGTACGTAATGACTGCATCCACTCTGGGGAGCTGGTATTACATAACACGTCTTAATTCCTTTTTGTAACCCCTTTCCCCCTCCACCTCTTGGTGCCCTTCTTTGCAAAAGATCTATGTCACTGTTCCCTATTATCTATCTTTTATTTTGCACTTTGTTTACATTTCGGGTTTCTCTTGACACTATAATGTTAAGTGAAAGAAATCAGACACATTTTACCCTTTTCTAGTGCCTACTTTAAGTAGGTAGTGGCTGGTGTCAAAATCTGCAATAAAAAAATGATATGGGCCGGGGATTTAGTTCAGTGGTGCCGCCACCTGCCTCGCAAGCACAAGGTCCTGAGTTCAATCCCTGCTACCAAAAAACCCCCAAAAAAGTAGACAATAGGAGAAAGAATATGATCAAAAAAATTTTTGTCAACTTAATTTTTCTACTAATGAGGAAGAAAAACTGTTTAATATAATGTTAAAAAGTTATAAACAGAAGATGAAAGAACCAGAAGCCAACGCTTTTATGTGAGAAAGTTGTACATTATCCGGAATTAGAAGAATAAAAAGGCAGGCAAAATGTTAACAAAGATACGCCTGTCCTTTGAGGCTAGTCTGAGTTATTCAGGACCAGACTTCTAAAATTTACCTATTTTATAAGGAATGTGCATGTGCTTATGAATACATGGTTTTCTAATTACTTTTATTTTCTTAACTTGAAAATGTCACAATGTTCAAATGCTAGGTCATGTTGCAGCTGGGTTCAGCAGATTAGGGAAAGCACGCTCTCTTTTAATTGGATTGGCAGTACCCATGGTTGTGGCCATGTTTGGACTCAGAATGAAAGAAATTCAAGGAGAAGGTAAGTAAAATCCAATAGACAGGGTTTTTCCCAGGAATCCTCTTACCAAATTTTTTCCCTCTTAGTTTCTTTCGTTCTTTTAAAAAATACTAAAATCTTTTGCACTTTGTTTTGACAAGGCAGATTATTTCCATCGGATGGTATAACGAGTTCCTTATTCCTAGAGATGTTTAAACAGACTTGGGAATCACTTGGCAGAGAGGTTATGAAAAGGGCTGGTTAGATTAGAGCAGCAGATCCTTCAAAATGCCCTCCATGCTACCTCCACATTCTATTTTTAAAAATATATAGAATCCTTGGACTCATTCTTTGAAATTCTATTCAGAATCTGTCAGTCTGTCATAACTGGTACGTAGTATTTAAAAAGCCCAAGCAATTATGAAATACAGCCAGGTTTAGGAACCACTGAAAACTATTACTGTCAGTATTCTAAGAATCCTGAGCTTCTAGGACTGTTTGTGTGGGTAAAGAATAAGAGTCTACTCTGCTTTACAAATTAATTAGCTTCAGACCATTCCCACAAGCTTGTGAATTAAACACAGCAAAAGTGAGAGTTGTCTCCCTGAGAACATTAACTTCACTGACTCTGCTTTCCAAACCCATTCCCAACCCAGTCAGTGCCCACAACTTTAATCCAGTTACCTTCACAGTGTAGAGCGTGTATGGGTGGAATCCAGTGCCACTGTGCTCTCGGGCAGTAATGGTGCCAGTGATACGAAGGTTCTGGATGACAACTGGCCCATCTGGACTGCTCAGGGGCTCAAAGCTGAAGGTGCCTGAGCTGAGAGGACCAGGTGGAGAGGAGGAAAGTGACACTTGTGGCAAAGTAGGATCCAGGGAATTCATACCATCTGTGAGATCCTTCTCTAAGCACGAGGGTCGTGCAGGGTAGGTCTTTACTGGTTCTTCCAGCAAAGCTGTAAGGGAGGTGACATCTTGTTCTACCTCCTTGTCTGCAGTGTCAATCTGGATCTCTGGGCAGGAATTTAGCACAGATACCAGCAGACCTGACTCCGTTTCTGTCCCTGGACCCTCCTCAGCCTCTGTTCCTTCAGTGCCCTCAGATCCCTCACCATCCTTAGGATCCAGAACCTGAGTATCTTCTAGGGCACACAGAGCATCATGGATCCTGTCAGAGAGGAAGTTGCCTGGGGTCATTAGCATGATGGTTTCTTTACCCAGTTCAGAGAGGGGAGACTCCAGCTCTGAGTCTTCACATAAGAACAAGGGGCCTCGAATATTTGGGTGCAGAAAATGAGATGAGTTGTTTCCTACTTTTCTTTCTTCAAGCAACCCACCCAAATCTGCCTCTATAGCTTCATGGCCTTCTTCAATCTCGGGGGAAGGGCCTGCTTCACTGTAGTTTAGAAGCACTGTGGCTGCTCCTGGGGAAGGGTCTCTCCCTTTTGGCAGATTCTCCACCTCAAGAATCAGTGGCAGAGATATGGGCACTGAGGGTTGCTCCAGAGCACCAGGGGTGCAGAGTGTTTTAGCTGCTTGTACGGGATCATTTCTGGCCCTGGAAAAGATACCCACAAGTATAAGGTGGATCCAATCAGGATCTGTCAGCTTGTTGATCAGTGGTAAGATTACACTGCAAGTAATGAGTTCGACCACTACATGGCGTCCAGTCCTAGTTTCCAAGTGGGGCTTGGGCACCAGACCTTGAAGCAACAAATTCACAATGCCACGTGTATGTGTTACCTCAGCACTAGGGCTGTGCACAGCAGGATGTGGGGCAGTAGCCTGGCAGTACGCCTCCCAGAGCTGGGAAGGCTGAACTGGGCTACTCTGCTTCTCTTCAGTGGCCTCCTTTGCCTGAATGTAGCTCTGCAGGTGACAACCACAGAGAGTCAGAACCCTCTGGGCAAGAGCATGGGTGTCCACCATGCCCATTCTCCTCCGAAGCTCCTGTACCAACCCTTTCATGGCTGCTTCCATCTCTTCCTCAAAGGCTGGCTCCTGGCTCACGGAACGATACCAGGATAACACAAAATCACGAATAATCATCTGGATGGTGCGGTCGATCTCCTGTTCCAGCTGTCTTTCTGCCTCGGGACACGGAGGGCAGGTGGCCACTGGAATGAAGCGTTCCAAGTGCAGTTGACCTGAAGCGCCCACAATGGCACTGGAGCCCAGCCACCCTCCCAGCACCATGAATAAAGCAGAGAGAAGGCACAGAAGCCACACATTGACCAGAAGGTGGATGACCAGGATACAGCCGAGCAAGACCCCCACAGCCATCAGCTTCCGGCTACTCCACAGATTACAGAGGTTACAGCAGGACTCAGGTAGGGTCTCCTGGGTCGGAGGCTTGGTCTCTGCCTTCATGGCTGAAAGAAGTAAGGCTTCTCTAGATGACGGCCCCCTTTCAATTTACTTCAATTTTACTGCAGATAAGGGGGCATGAACTGTGATCCTGACAGATGATCTGGGCTTCCATGCAGAGATTCCGCCGAGATTAGGGCTCTTGAAGTCCTACAGGCACTACAAAGCGACCGGAGCAGTCCTGTTTCTCAGGCCGCCGTCACCAGAGCCCTCCACCAGCCGGTTCCAGAGGGGGAGAACCTGTCCTGGAGCGAAGCTCCGCGGGTCCTGAATGCCCTGGCCGAGGGTCTCCCAGCAGGCTCGGAGGGCGGCGGAGACAGTTACGCTGGCGCTCAGTGGCGGCCGGGATCCGGGCGCTCGTCGCCGGGGGCCGCGCGCCCAGGTTAGCGTGGACCGGACTCATTGGGGACCCTGCCGACGGCCTCGGCCCGCGGCGACGCAGGCTTAGGCGGCCGAGCCACCGCGTTCTGGAGCCCCAACTTCCTCAGGGATACCCGCCTGCTGTCCGCGGGGTACAGCTTCCGGGTCGCGGGCCCGGGAGCAGGGCATGCTGGGAAGGCGGCAGTGAGCTCAGTGCTGTGCCGCCGACGCCCCCTAGTGGTAGGGAGTCGTGGTGATGCCGCGAGCGGCCGGGGGTCTCCCAGCCAGAGCCAGGGCTCAACAGGGCTGGCCAAGCTTCCTGAAGTGCGGCCTTGCAGCAAGATCTGCAGAGTTCAGTTCCAGCGCCTTTAAGGTGTTCTCCAGCTTCATTATTGAATGTTGTCTACAAACATCACTTATTTCTCGGACAAAGTGATCCAGTTTGTTTTAATCACATGAGGAAGTGTTTTCTTTGGCCTGACACACCCCACCCCCATTCCCAATTCACCGCCCGCCCGCCTTGTTCTCAGCAGCTGCAAACTACTAGTCATAAAACTACAAATCATAACACAGAGACAAATTCATTCCTTAAACTTCATAGACTGTATCACTAAATCAGGGTTGTGATGGGGGGTAATTTACTAATGGCACTACCTGAGCTGTCAAACATTTGCAGCATCTGCTGCGCTCAGTCACTGTGATGGGTAGTATGGAGGAAGAGAAGCTGTCCCCAAGCCCCCCGGGGCTAACTGGGAGAATATATGACAAGAACATTAAAGGATATTTAGTAAAGCGAGTCTGTACGGGATGCAGTAACATGGTAACTCCTACAGATATTCAGGGGAAGGAAAGATCATCATGAGTTGCAGTGGTTACTGGGACCCTATAGAAAAGGTAGCCTTTATTCTGTCCCTTAAGAATGAGTGTTCCTTTCTATCCATATCTCTTTTCTTCCTCTCTCTTCCTAAAAGCATAGAAAATGAAGGCAGAGGTGCAGATGTGTTTTTAGATAATTTGTAGTACACAATATTTGGTTTGCTCTCTATATTTCATTGATTTGAGGTTTAGTATGTTTACACAAACAGAATTACCTATAGGAAGGTTAAATATCTGACAATAGAACTGAACATGTGAACAAGCATTTGTGTCCTTTGGCGTGATGCCTGCTTCCTTTCCCCATCTTAGTCCTTAGGAATTCTATTTACAGTGCTGCTATTCTTTGTGCATTACCACAGGACATACATCATTTGCATAGAGCTGCTATCAGTTGCCCATCCTCAGCATACTCTATGCCATTAGCAGCGTTTTGTCATTATAGCATCACTCCCTAGATGGTTAAAGGAATCTTCAGGCAAACTCTAGCTAAAAACTGTGCCAAAAAGAAGCATATTGTAGTTTCTTCTGTAGTTTCTTCTCAATTTCTACTCTTGGTGCAAGGATCTGTTTTTAATGCAAAATGAGCCATCAGTTAGATGTGAGACATGGTTTATGACTAACTATTAAAGTAAGCAGTGCAATTTAGGATCAAAGTGTCCAGTAAGGAGACTGGGAACACCCCTTCAATCCCAGAAAGCCAGTTCATATTTCTACTACATACTCCATTGCTACTCGATTCCCCAAAGAAAAGGAACATGAGAAGTGGACACTGGCCCTCTTTGTCCTTCCAGGCCATTCTGTTCTCAGAAACAGAAGATGACAGCAATGCCCTAGAAAAATATTGCTGCCACCTAGTTGGGAACTAAAACAGATTAGTAAATTATAGAGGAACTAATGATGCTGCTGAAGACCCTGCCTGGCAGCTCACAGAGAAAGTTTACACTCTTGCAAGATCTGGGGCAGGTGGCAGAACCACTGAGCTAAATCCCTGGCTCTGCTTGCAAGATCTGGAATGTTCAGGGCAGTAGGGACTGACCTTGTAAGTGGGCAGTATGCCACCTGACCAGATGGTCTGCAGCACTGAAGCAGCCAAGAGTGTCTTCCTGATTCTGAAGCAGATTTGGTGGACATGCCAATGCACTTGTCATTCAGATGGGTATGAGTTTCTGCCCAGGGGTCTGGGATATTTAGTCTCCAAACAGATTAATCACTGGAAGGAAGTGAGAATCATAACTGATGTGCAGTAGTGTGTGTGTGTGTGTGTGTGTGTGTGCATGTGACTGTGGTGTGGGGAGGCTGTCTGGCCACACCATTTACCATTTTGTGAGGTCCTGACTTCTTCTCTTATCATTTTTAATAACATTAACAGTGTAGTTCTAGAGTGTTGGGATAACAAGATGAATAAGACATAGTTATTCTTTTCATCTTGCTTAAAGGAGAGATGCACAGAAAGGAAAATGTAATTAAACACCACCTCATGTTTAATGTGATGTGTTATGATTGTTGCAGTAGACGTGTGTGCGATAAAATGGGAACACAAAGGAGGGAGGTTAACTGGGAGATTGAGTGGCTCATAAAAAGTTCACCCTTCCATCACAAAATAGAAAAGAACCAAGTGTATTTTATGAAAGTGTGGAGGAGAGAGGGAATGAGTAAAGGAGGGAGGTCTTTTAGGTTGCAGCATGGATGTGAGAAGAGACAGGAACAAGGAGAGCAAAGGGCACCATGACAAGAGGCCAGGCTATAATCAGACCTGCTACATTGCAATGTAAAAAGCAGAAGACATGGTAACTTCCTAAAGAGAGTTTCAATGATGGAGTAGGTGAATGGAGAAGAAGGAATTATTCCTGTGAGGATAGAAGAGGAATGAATGAAGGTCAGGTAAAGGAATACAGAGAGACTGAGGATGTAGCTGAAGTTACAGATCATGAATTTGTAATGAAACTAATAGATATTGTTGAGTGATTTTCTCCTGGGTTTCTTCAGTGTGCGAGAGAAGCAAGCAGGAAGTTAGTCTGTTGCCACTTGGGGAGTATCAGGTTAGATGAAAAGGTCGATAAATAATACATGGTTAAGACCTTGACATCCTGAGCAGAGAGCCACTAAAATTGAAAATCAGGGTGTCAAGGAAGGGAAACAAAGCCAGGAGAGATGACAAATTGTGAGACTAGGATAGGTGTACTGGAGAAAAGGAAGGGAGTGAGAAGAATAAAGGTTTATGGTTACAAATTGGTGTATCGGCGCCTGTATTAGTTTTCTATTGCTATGTTACCAAATTGCTACCAACTTAGTACCTTCCAGAAATACATATTTATTGCCTCCCAGTTCTGAAAGTCTAAAATGGGTTGGCAGAGCTGTACTCCTTCTGGAGGCCAGAGGGGGAAAATCTGTTTTTCTGTTCTTTCCAGCTTGTAGAGGCCACCTGTATTCTTTGGCTCATGGCTCCACATGGCTCCAGCCTCTGTTCTGTTGTCACATCTCTTTCTCACTCTGAATCTCCTGCCTTCTCTTATAAGGACCTTTGTGATTACATTGGATCCCCCTATAACCTAGGATAACCTTCCCATCTCAAGATCCTTAATGAAAGAATCTGACTGCTGCCATTCTGAGCTGAACAGAGACCACATTAAGGTCTGCCCCCTTGGCCTGCTGTGCTTGTATACCCACCACAAATGCATAATCATGGGTTGATAAGGTCCGGTAACCATAGCTGCAACCCATAACTCCCATCATTACTCGGCCCTGCACTTGACAAGTAACCACAACTCCCTGTGCACTCTCAAGACGTGTCCCTAACTAGTAACCACAATTCCTTTTCACTGCACCCATCCCAACTTATGCCCATGAGTGTATAGAAAATCTCACCGTCTGTATGAGTGTAGGCAGTCTGGCCTCTAATGTCAGGTCCCTCTCAGGTCTGTTCTGAAATAAACCTATCCTGCAAGCTTGTAGCTCTGTTTCTTTCACTAACACTCAAGACTATTTGCCAAGGAAAGCAACATATTCATAGGTATTGGGGACTAGGATACAGACATTGCTGGAGAAAGGTAACATTATTTAGCCTATACAGAGCCTAAATATCTAGAGATGAAAATGTTCTTTGATGATCAAGTCTAGATGTGGACAAATAATAAGTTCCTAAAGTAAGATACAGATAATGTGTTAGGGTTGAGGAAGAAATTTTGGTTTTGAGAAGGATCATGTACCTGGGCTTCAAAGTCATCAATACAGTAAGTCCCTGACTTATGAAAGAGTTTTGTTCCAGGAGGATGATCCTAAGTCAGATTTGTTTGTAAGTCCAGCAAATGAGTTTTATACACCTTTGACACAAATGTACAATGTAAAGCATTAAAAAACCAAATGGAAGATCTGTTTCTGTCTGTGCAAGTTTGCAACTCGAATGTTCATAAATCGAGGACTTATTGTATTAGGGTACAAAGACTGTGATCTTGATACCAAAGTTCTCAATAAATGAAAAAGACAGGAGCTTGACAAATAATGTAGCCTGTAGAGAAGAGTGTGTTAGTAGAAACACAGGGGAGGAAGTTTTGAACAAGTTGGAAAATGAGTTATCCGAAAGAGCCCATTAAAAAGTATGATATTCCCAAGAACATGCCTTAAATGCAGTGATGGAGAATAGTCAGCCACCAGAGGGAAGCAGGGAACAGCATTTTAAGAAGACTTCTGCAGAAGTAGAAACAGCACTGAAATACAAGTTAAAGTGATACAAGGTTAACTTTCTCATCTGGCTGGCTACATGGAGTGAGAAGTGCTCTGGTAAACCCTACCACTGCAGAACATATAGATTCCTACCAAAAACACTTGTGGTGAGTAAATGGGCTGAAGAGAGTATATAAAGTAGGTGAGGAGTTTAAGGTACACAATCTTATTCCACCCCAAAAGCAAACATAAAACAAACTTTGAGATGAGAACAGAGCTACAAGTAGTGAATTATAGGGTGAATGAAAAGGTTGGAGTGAACTCAGGGACAGATTTTTCTCAGCAGAACCACGATCCAGATTTGGATTACTGTTCTAGCAGCAAGAAAGTAGAACTGGGTCCTTGATTTCCACTTTGAGCCACAACATTTGGGGTAGGGAGCTAAAGAGGTTCTAGGTTAGTGGAAACTCCTGGAAAGCAAATGCAAATCATTTCTGCAAGAAGACAGTCTCATTTGAAAACCATAAAATATGTACAAACTTAAGACACAGTGAATGTAAACTCTGGACCCAAGGTTGTCAAGTATATGAGAAGGCAAGTTATTATGAGTAAGAATTACAAGAAATTACAACAGATTTAGAC